GCCCGGGGGGCGGGGGGGGCAGGGAGGAAGAGGAGGAGGAGGAGGAGGCGAATCCGAAAGGTGGGATACTACACCCTGCTGGCGGCGGCGGTGCTGCTGCGGGCCGGCCGGGGTCCCCCTGGCAGGACCTCTCTGTGAGGGGGAGGACTCTTCTTCATAGGGGGAGGGTGCCGGCGCCGCCGCTCCTCTGGGCCTCCCTGTCCCCCTCTTCTGGGCGCCTCTCTCTCTCTCCTCTCACTTTCTTTAAGCTAAGCGGGGAGTGGAAGATGGTAGGTTGCTCCCTTCTCCTCCTCCTCTTCGCTCGCTCTCGCCTCTGTGGGGTCCTTTTCCTTCCCCCTCTCCGCGGGGGGCTCCTCCTGCGGCGGGGAGGAGGGAGCGGGCGGGGAGGGCGGCACGAAGCCGAAGAGGCGCAGGAGGAGAGAAACTGTAACACAAAAACAAGCCGAGAAGCTGAACTCTTCTTCAATCCCATTCACCCGGCCCGGCCGCAGCACACCTCTGGCCGGGATCCCTCCGCCGCCGGCCTCCCTGCCTGCCTGCCTGCGGCGCGCTCCCGACACGCCGCCGCGCGCGCCCCCGTCCGCCCCGGCCCGGCCCGGTCCGCCGCTGGAGACCCGCCGGGAAGCGGGGACCGGAGGGCCCACGCCCACGCTCCCCCCTCCCCGTTGCAACGGCGGGGCGCCGCCGGCCCGGCCCGGGCCGGGGCAAGGGGGGCAGCCGCGAGGGCGGGCTCGGCGGCTTCTCCTGAGGGGGGACTACTTGACGTGTCGGTGCGGCGAATTTATTTCCCTTTGCCTAAGGAACGGGCTGTGCTGCGGCCCCCATTGCCTAGGGAAAAAGCCCGGATGTAAAGTGAGTGAAACTAAAGTAGAGTGAAGTAGGGCACCAAACTCTGCCGGAGCAGCGGCGCCGCCGGCCGCGGCCGCGGGGGGCACTGGGCGGCTGCACCGCCCCGCACCGCCGGTACCGGGCGGCCGTGAGGGCACGGAGGCCGGGGAGAGCAGTGCGGGGGCGACCGCGCGTCAGCCGAGGACCCCCCCCACATACACATACACACACACATACACGTACACACGCACACACACACACATACACACACACCCCCCTCCCTCCCTCCNGGCGGCCTGAGCGCCGTGCGTGAGGCGCGGTGCGCCGCGGCCCGCCCGCCCGGGCCAAGGGCCGCCCTGCGCGCTCCCTGCCTCCCCGCATCGCCGGCCCTGCCATGTTATTCATAGGAATAGCGCACACGCTCGCCGCGCGGCCGGCTAGGAAGGGAGGGTGTTCCCTCCTCCGCCTCGCCGTTCACGCAGCGGGCTTGGCTTATTTATTTATTAACTTACTACTCCAGTGCCGGGCGATGCTGCCATTTGCTTTCGCGCGAGCGGCGGCGCATCAGCCTTCTCTGCTTTTTTTTTTTTTTTTTTTTTTTTCCTATTCCAGAAAGTGGAAAGGAAAAAAATACAAATTTTTTTAATTTTTTTTTTTTTTAAAGGATGAAGAACAAAAACCAACCGCGGCGAGTCAGAAACTTTGGTGGGCAGGTCGAGAGCAGGGAAGTTGGCACGCCGGGGGTTAGGAGGTCCGTGCCGCACTCGCTGGCGTGCGGATCGAACGGACGTGACTCGGGCGGCCCGGGCCCGCCGGGGCCCCCGTTCCCTGCCGCCGCCCCGGGAGCTGCTGCGGGCCGCTCAGTCCGGGCAGGGTCAGTCCTTATCTGCAGTACGCTAGCTTAAGTTACAGGCATGCCCCTGTGCGTCTCCGGCTTCTGAAGTCTCCAGAGTCTCAGAAATACTTAAAGCCTCGCGTTTCTGTCGGAGCTACCATTGCTAAAAGCAGTGGGACATGTTCTGGACGGCGCGGGATTTGTATGAGCTCTCACGAAAAGCCGGGATTTGATGCAATGCAAAACTGATTTTTTTTTTTTTATATATATAGCCTCTTATATCACTTTATTTCTTCGAAATGCTCACAAGTTGTGAAGAAAAGTGTTTGCGTTGTCTCTGTAAATGCTTCAGGAAGCCACGATGAACTCTTTATTACATTGTGAAACTAAATCCACAATGCAGTCATGATGAGTAACTCGGGGACGAGTCGTAATGGGGCAGAAACGGACAGTTTTATCATCTGGAGGATTCTAGAGGGCTCAGCATGAGTGAGAACGTACAGCGAGGTTTCCTCTCAACTGTGAAAAAAAGAGATATATACGCCATTGTTTATTTAATTACTATTAATTTTCCACTTCTTTTCCATCAATTGGTTGCAAGTTCTGTGTGATTTAATTGGAAACTTTACAACATTTAGTGCCCTTCTTAAAGCTGTAGCTCCTGGACTCATACAATTATGCAAGAAACTTAGCCTTATTTTTTTTAAATGAAGTTTCTAGCCTGTGAGTTTGTGGATGTGACCTTAAAGACACAAACTTTAAATGCACACAAAGGAAAAGATATGAAGCAAATAGAGTAATCTAAAAATGCTTTTATTTTTTTAGTCATGTTGTTTGGGTTTTTGTTTTTGAGGCAATCTCTCCTACCCTGTTTTTTTGTCCTTTTTTCTTTTTTTTTTTTTTCTGCAAGCCAGGTATGATGTTAAACCATAGGGTTGACAGAATACTAAGAAAAGGAAAACACAGAAATTATATCTGGGTCTCATCAAATAGTTACTGATAGGTGCACAGTTCATGGGATATCAGGTAAGGTCATGTGCACAAGACCACCAAAAATCCAGCAGCCATCACAGTAGAACTTTCCATGTATCCAACTGTAACAAGAAGTGTTATGGTTAGTATAACTGAGATATTAGATATTACACCATTTCTAATAAATATATATTTGCTTTTTATATTTCTTTCTGTTTTATTTCCACATCCTTTTAATAGATCAAGTGAGCTTGGGCTAAGCTCTATTACTGTCAGATCAGCTTGTAGTTTGCTGTGATTTCTCCTGTGGCTGGGGCGCCACCCAGCCTCCTCCCTCCTCAGCCCTCCAATCTCAAATTCCATTTTTAAACCCTGCTGAAAATCTCAGCTCCAATACTCAGATTTTCCCTCCTCCATGTAAACTTTTACAACCAGCACTTTAAGCTGTGGAGGCCAAATGTTACAGCCAAGACAGCCTGGATTTTGATTTTACCTTCAGTTAGTTTGAAGCAAGGAGTCAGCTTACTCTGAAAACAATCAGACCAGAGTTGCTTTTGTCTTTCAGATTTTTTTGATAGAGGCAACAGAAAAATAAATAACTGAGTAAAGCCTGTTTGTTTTAGTGTTTTTTATCTTTCTGGTTAACAAGCAAGTTGAAAGAATCTAGAATGAGTGATTTAAGTGTTATTAGAGATTCAGCATGTTTATTTTGCTGAGGAGTCAATACACACAGCCCAAAGTTTGTTTTTTAAAGATGAACTTTGGACAAAGTTCAAAGGAAAAATAATCATCAGCTGTTACTGTAGATGCATGCAGAAATTTTTCATGGTTTGTCTTAGAGCTCAGACAATGATGAGTATCTCACACACTACCCACAGTGATCTCTGGGTCATGGCAAGGTGGCTCAGACCATTTTCATAGAGTCGTTCAGGTTGAAAGGGATCTTAAAGCTTGTCTAGTTCCTCCCCACCTGCCATGGGCAAGGACACCTTCCACTAGACCAGATTGCTCAGGGCTCCATCCAGCCTGGCCTTGAACACTTCCAGGGATGGGACATCCACAGCCCCTCTGAGCAACCTGTTCCAGTGCCTCACCATCCTCACAGTGAATAATCTATTTCTAATCTAATCAAACTGTACCCTCCATTATCCCTTGTTCTATCACTACATGCCCTCGTCAGAAGTGCTTCTCCAGCTTTCTTGTACACTCCCTTTAGGTTCTGGAAGGATGCTATAAGGTGTTCTCCAGCCTGAACAGCCCCAACCCTCTCAGCCAGCCTTCTGATCATCTTCATTGCACTGCTCCAGTCTCTCTCCAGAAGATCCACATCACTCTTCTGTTGGGGACCACAGAGCTGGACAAATCACTCCAGTTTCTCATAAGGTGCCATGAGAGCAGAGGGGCTGAATCCCCTCCCTCACCTTGCTGGCCCCGCTGCTTTCCATGCAGCCCAGGATGCCGTTGGCTTTCTGGGCTGCGGGCACACATTGCTGGGTTGTGTTGGGCTTCACGTCAACCAGTCTGAACTCAGCAGTTTAAGACACAAACCTTGATTATCACAGACATGCCAAAAGGCTTTCCTTTTAAAACTGCACATGTGCACTTTGTTCAGACTTCAAATGCTGAAGAGAAGTGGTTCCTGCCTCTGTGCTACTTAGCTTCACTTCCACGTCAACAAAAAGGGCCCCCATTTGTGTATACAAAAAATTCACCTTCTAGTAGCATGAAAAGTGGTTTCATGTATGAAATGTAAAGCAATGGTATCATCAGATGCACAGCTAAATCTTTGAATAAACTGACTGGTTTTGTACATTAGGTCTACACAGAGATGTCTACCATGATTTCCTTTCAGTGAAAGGAAATCTTGCTAGAAGCTTAGGGGAAAAAAGTCCTCCTTTGCTTGTTGAGTCTTTGTGCACAAAGTTGACCCACACACCTCTGCCTCTGAATGTGATGTTTGTGCTGCTTATCAAAAAACATAGTTCAGTTTGTCTGGGTTTTCCACTTTCTGCTTGATCACATCACTCTGGATGCTCGTCCAGTCCCCTTTGCCTAGTTTTTATCCTAAGAGCACTTAGAAGTACAAGCCAAATACAAAGCCTTATCAAAGTTAGTGGAAAAGTCACAAAACTCAACAGGATTTGATGAGAACTTGTAAGCAGCTGCTAGATTTTGTTTCTCATTGAATATTATTTCACCAGTTTGGGAGAATTTCAGAGAAAGAAGCACAGTCCATGTAAAGTATTAATGCAGGGGCATCTCAAGAAAAATAGTCATTACTAACAGTTATTGTACCAAGTGTTCAAAATAAAAAGTTACATCATAATATGCTAGCTTTGCTATAGCCAGCCCATCTTGCAGTGCTGCTTGTTGGGAATACTTAGAACAAAATTTATGATATTAGTTAACATGCATAAACAGTCTTCTAGCAAGAAGACTTTTTTGTGTTAAAAAGAATTAACAGCAAGTGCACTGACAGGTCACAGATTAGGTTGACAGTGGAGTTGTCACATGGCACTTTCTGTTCCCCTGGTTTTCAGCAACAAAACTACCTTTAAAACTAAACCAAGAGTTAGTTACTCACCTATTGCTATTTTTCACTGTGCTTTTGGCAGGAATGCTAGATGGCTGCAACTAAGAGGGAAGATAGCCTGTGCAGCTTAAAAATGAAAGCTATAAGACCATTTCAGGCAAGACATAGCCCAGCCTAAGAAAACAGTTGGGAATCTGTCTTTCTCATCAGTGTTTGAGCACAGGGTTATCTCACCAGCAGGATCCAGGCAAAGAATGCCTTCTACAAGCAAATATCTTCCCTTTCCCAGGTCAGGGAAGGATAGGGCATCACTCACTTCCAGACGATAAGGAAAATTAACCAGACTGCTTAGACCACCAGTTGGGATCAGAGCCTGAAAACATGTTGAGTATGAGGCACTCACCATTAAGAACATCAACCTAAATGGAAATGCATTGCTCAACACAACAACCTCTGACTTTGACTGTGGATTAGTGCCTTACACAGGAGTTATTGCTTACAGCAGCCAATGAAGCAGACCACTGCTTACCCTGTCTCATCCCAAAGTGACTTTCTGACTTGTCAGCTGTCATTTGGTCCAGACAGGAGTGGTGCAGCTGCAAATCTCACTCTCCTGAATGCTCTGCCTGGGAGACAGCTAGGGTGAGCTAAAAACAGTCATAGGAGTGCATTGTCCAGGTTCTATATTCAGGTAAAAGTAATTCAACATTCAGGCTGCCCCGTTGCTTTTGTAAAATTCATATTCTCCGGGCTGCCCTCAGCAGCTGAGCCAGGGAAGGCCTGTCAGCACAGCACAGCATTCTGTCTGCAGTGGGATTTCACTGGAGATGCAAGCTCTTCTGAGAGTAGCCTTGAAAGGAGACTGTGTCCTGCTGTCTCTGCCCCTGATCACTTACTGCTTTGCTTACCAGGGGCATCGGTTATTTCATACAGAAAGTAGAGACCATAGCTCAGAGGGGGTAGCCTGGCCTGTTGCAGGAGAGAGCATGGGGGACCTGTGAGGACTCACCACTGTCTCTTACCTGCCAGCAGAGCTCCCAGAGCTCTTCTTCCTTGGCTTCCCTCTTAGGCTTTCAGTCTTGTTAAGGTTTCAATATGTGAAGTCAGGAAGATTGTCAGCTCCTTATGTAATCCGACCTCCAGCAAAACACTATTTCAACCAGTCCTTCTGTATCAGATCTGCAATTAGGGGAGGCCAGAGAGCATTTTACCTTTCACAAGCCATGCTTTCTTTCTTCTTCTGAATGTGCATCTGCTTTCAGAGAGGCTGGTGATGTTGAAGGAAGATCTGAGGAGCGATACTGTCTCTGGGAGTCAAGAGGAATGGGTTTCCTTGCCTTTTTTCTTTTTTCCCTTCTCCTTCAGTAGAAGTGAGCAGTCATAAAGGGGACATTGCTCATGGCTCTCAGGTGGCTGGCCAGGCTGACTAAGCATGGTTTCGGATCCTGTACACTGTTTAGAATCACAATGAGCTAGAGATTGTGTGCCAAGATGTAAATGGTCCAGGGAAAGGATCCTCATTTTTAAGCCAGCAGTATGAAGTATCCTAGGAGCAATTGCAGTTGCATTATCAGATAGAAGAAACTGGTTTTGACTCATTGTCCTTTTTGTTAAACAATATAATGCCTCCTAATTCAAGCTGATTTGTTGTAATGTTGGTCACCCTACTAAATTTTTCAGCTGGTGATTGTTGGACCATTAATGATTAGAGATATCTAGTCTCCATCAAAATGCCCTTTTCCAGATGCTTTCACAAGAATTCTTCCACTTCTGTTTTTGAGGAACTTGGGGAAAAATGTAGAATTGGAAAACTGTGGATGGAAATGAAACCACTGAGTATGTTTTCAAGCACTGCTGAAAGGAAATGACAACTTTTGTAATTAAGCATTTCGGTGTTTCACTAACCTGATAAGCAAATAGAAATGCAGAGTGGTAATCCAAGGACATGAGCCACAGACCAAGACAGCAGCTACCAGGATGTATTGCAGGCATATAGACATCTCAACAGCCTCCCACATGCACAGAAATCAGATGTTGTGACAAACAGCGACCATAACAAATTTTAAAGTCAATTTCTGTGAACAATAAAATAGCGGTAGATGGGACATAATGACTTTTTAGTCCTTTTAGGTGTCAATGGTCATTTTGGCACCTTGAGGAAGACATTATAAAACAATGTCTGCTCCAAAGTCCAAGGAACATATAATGTAAAAGATCACTAAGAGGAAGGAAAGACAAGGAATCAGAGGACCTAAGGAACACTACAGGATGATGATAATTCCAGGATGTTATGTACTTCAAATATAAATACTGATTGTGGTTTTCAAAAATACTTCTGTAAATTTGTCCCCTAAACCCGTCAATATCACTAGATACATAAACAGCCTGGAATTTGAGTGGATGGAACATCTGAAAAGCAATTCAGTTATCTTAAGTGCTTAATTAAACATATATTTGAGCCGCCAGTTTGGGACCACCAGTTAAGCAGCTACTTGTCCTATAGAGTTATGTAGCAAGAGCATCAGTTTGAAAGCAATAAAAAAGTAGTAAGCTTTGAGAAGTATTAAACTACTGGAATCTTGTGTATTTATTACAGCTTGCCTTGACTTTACCCTGCTGGAAAGTAGCCGAGCATAGGCACAGGGACAAGGGAGGGAAGAGGAGTTGTG